AGGGATCAGTTCTGAGTCCAGTTCAGTTCAAGAACTTCATCCTTGATTTAGATAATCGCATAGAGCCGTGGTCACCAACCAGTAGATCGCGATCTACCGGTAGATCTCGGAGGCTCTAAGGGTAGCTCTTGAGCCCTCTGAACTGTGTGCCTGCGCAGTACATTTACATTAGATTTCCTCATTTGAGGTGCAGCTACTCATCGAGCAACAGCACAGATGAATAGCTGCGAGAAATGGTGGGAATTTTTTTTAAAGTAGCAGTATAAGGATTGGGGATAGCTAGTGATGGAGAGGAGGAGAATAGAGAGGGCGGGGCTTCAAGGAAGGGGCGGGGCGGTAGATCTTGGCTTGGTCTGTTATTTAAAAAGTGATCTTGGGTGTAAAAAGGTTGGAGACCACTGGCATAGAGAGTATACTTACAAAGTTTTCAGATGATACTAAGTTAGGAGGGGGATTGCATGTGCTTGGGAAGTCTGGATTAAAATTCAAAATAGTCTGGACAAATTGAAGAAATCGTCTGAAGTAGACAGGATGAAATTCAATAAGGACAAATTAAAGTATTCCATTTAGGAAGGAACAATCAGTCGTACACATGCAAAATGTGAAATGATTGTCTAGGAAGGAATATTGTAGTAAGCAATCTGGGAGTCATAGTGGATCAAAAGCTAAATATGAGCAATTATTCTTCTTTGCTCTGCACTGATATGGACTCAGCTGGACTACTGTGTCCAGTTCTGGGTGCCACATTTCAGCAAAGGTGTGGACAAACTGGGGAAAGTCTAGAGGAGAGGAACAAAATTTAGAAAACATGACCTATGAGGGAAAATTAAAAATACTAAGTTTGTTTAGTCTGAAGAAGAGAAAAATGAACTGGGACACGATAACAGTTTTCAAATATACGAGGAAGGAGAAAAAAATGTTCTTAACCTCTGAGGTCAGGGCAAAAAACAATGGGTTTAAATTGCAGCAAGAGTGATTTAGGTTGGACATTAGGGGAAAAAACCTTACTGTAAGGCTACTTAAGCACTGGAATAAACTGTCTAGGGAAGGTGTGGGCTTTCCATCATTGGAGATTTTTAAGGATAAGTTAAGACTCGTCAGATCTAGTCTAGATACTACTTAGCCCTGACTTACATACAGGAGACTGAACTAGAAAACTTCCCAAGGTCCCTTCCAGTCTTACAATTCTATGAAATCTTTCCTCTCCCTACCAAATTTATTTTCAACTAACCAGAAGGGGTCACTTTCATAGAATCATAGAGCTGGAAGAGACCTCAGGAGATAATCAAGTTCAGCCGTCTGCCCAAAGCAGGACCAATCCCAATTTTCAATGGGCTTCTGATCAGACTATTGTTTCTGAAGAGTACTAGTTGGGACAGAGTTTTTTCTGTTCCAAAGGGGAATTCAATCACAGCTCATCCTGCCTCTGCTTCCACAGTTACATTCTCTGTTTTGGAGGACAGTCAAGCTTAAAAGTCTGGCCCACGGATACCTTCTCAAATGTCCTCACAGTACACCTATAAAACCACTTGCACTTAAATAGTAGCTAACACACAGCACACATGAGCACAAAAGCATGCAATTTTTTTAGTATTGTTTTCCTTACATTAGTAAAACAACCTTTTGCTCTATTTATTATGCTCTCTCTTGCAAATATATGCATGTACTTTTGGCTCTAAGTGTACAAGAAGTAAAATAAATCCATTTGTCATCTGATGAAGTGGGTGGTGCCCACAAAAGCTCATGATACTATCTATATATTTTGGTCTCTAAGGAGCTACAGGAACACTGCTGTTTTTTAAGCCTCATTAGTGTGGTTAATAAACATTTTACTGACCAGTATATATAAACAGCTGTGAAACACCCTTTTCAGAGATGTATATAAAAATGCACCAGTTCTGTGAACAGCTAAAAACCAAAGAGAAAATAGAGCCAGCATTAGTTAACAGGTTGTTTATTACAGAAATCTAAAAAAGAAATAAAAGTGCTTTATTACTGCCTGAACAGTTCTTTATGTTCTTCATTACAGGGAGCCTTCTCCCTCACTTTGCTATTGCTAGACTAAAATTTGTGCAGCTCAATGATTTCTTGGGAATGGCACAAAGGGGAAGGGAGTCAGTTTGTCTTTCCATTAGTTATCTAGTCTAGCATTTCTTTTCCTACCCTTTTTAAAGATGTAACCATCTCAATAACTTAAATTTTGCTTTACCTTTCAAAAGCAGAAATTTCAGCATAAATGTGAAATAAATTTTAATCAGCACAGACACAGAATTTACTAAAAAATATGAGCTAAAATATGAGGAAAAAAGAAATGAATTAGATAGCAAATAGAAAGCTTTTAACTATTGCATTGTTTTGGAACCAGACCCTTTTTTTGGCAGACTCCTTTTAGGCAACTAAAAGCAATTTATGAAAATTATCACTCCATGCCTATTAGCTGGGGAAGCATTATCCCCATTTTACATTTGATTTGCCTTTTTCCACATTGATTGTGGCAAGACTTCACCCCCTAAACTCAAATAAATCAAGTTTTTAGATAATGTAAGCTGCTTCTCATCCCATTTAATGCTAGACACTGCTATCATATCCTTCATTTAAACAGATTAACTGTTCCTTTTCTGTTACAGAGAAGGAGAGGCTACATACTTGCACAGGGTGAGCTAGAAATTGCAATTTGCTTCAGCAATGTTTTTCAATCAAAGGGAAGGTGTCTTCTTTGGAGCCAATGGCTTCTTGAGAGCGAAACTGCAGGAAGAGACCTTACTATGTAGGATGAGTGGCTGCATGTACGTAATGCTCTTTCCTTTATTGCCTGAAAGATCCCAATCATTGTTGGTGTGACTGCCTGTGACATCTGGGAGCTGATCTCTTCCTGTGAACTCTCAATCCTGCTCTTCACATTTAATATCAATACTGAGAGGAAAGTTTCAGACTGGATAGAAGAATATACCCTCAATGTAGTGTTGGAAGGTAATTTTACTACACTGATGGAAAAAACCTTCCATTAGCTTAGGCTGAGTCTACACTACAATATTTTACTAGCACAGCTATAGTGCCATGGCTGTACTGGGATAGTCCCTATAGAGATAGACATGAACTTCACCAGAGTTCAGTAAATTCAGCTATGTTAAAATACCAAGCTCATTTAATACCAATAGTACACCTTGGCACATAACAGGAGAGGAGACCTCCTTCATAGGTTATATTTACAATTTTTTTTCTTCAGAGCACAATTTGCTCTTGCTCTACACATTAACACAGATGGCCTAATGTACACTTTAAAAAGATAGGCTGGCATAGCTACAGCAGTTAGGAGTGTGAAAACACCCCACCCAATTACCACAGCTATGCCCATCTAACCCCCAGGGTAGATGAGCCAGGTTGACAAAAGAATGTTTCCATCACTCAGGAAGCTGGTTTTTCTACATTGCTGGACAAAATCCTTCTATCACTGTAGGAAGCATCTACACTGTGGTACTACAGTGGCATAGCTATGCTGCTACCTATCCTATACTGTAGACACTCTAATTCCTGGATGTGAACAAAGTAAGACTTGTTTTGTCTGAGAGAAAATCAAACCAAGGTCAAAGGAAAATGCTTGATACCGAGAGATCAGTTTACGAACCACGTTACAGTTTACCACCATCACACAGAATGCAGCTCAAACAGACCCTTTCAAAGAAATCAAAAGAATCTTGTGTAACTAGAAAGTTATTCTCAGGAGCTGTCTGATGTAACAGTCTGGATAACATTTTTTATAGTTCTTTGTCTGTGGAGGAAGGTTCTGGCTTAGCTGCTCTGAGGATCCTGGCGGCAGCAGCAGAATAAGCATTCTCCATACACTGTCCTGCCAAAGTGCCTTATTTCTAACCAGAACATTCTCCTACCATAAAGGAACTATCTGCATCCTTTGCCCATTTTCTTGACAGTTCCTGATGAGAAGCTATCAGACCCAGTTGTGATTATGACCTTTTATAAGAACACATATAGCTGGATAGAGATAACGAAGCTCATATAACACAGAGCACCATATCTTTATATTATGTATTTTTTTAAAAATCACAATGAACCTGAGACTGGAGGGAAACTGGTGATTCAGAAGTGAAAGGCTCATAGCACTAGTTACCTACGTTGTACGATCTTCTGTGTTGAAGTGTTTCTCTTTCTCTCTCTCACACACACACAGGTCTATGAATACACACGTATTTATCCCCAGCTGACAGTCAAGGCAAGTACTTGATTCTGACTATCAATATATGTCAGATTACAGTGCCTTGATGAGGAAACATCTTCTGGGGCTGAAAGAAATAAGTTGTCTCTAAATATAAAACATCTGAATTATCTCAAGTTTCTGTCTCCCTGGGAATGGAGAGAGGAAACGAGAAGCAGTATAAAAGATGACACCATGGTGCCTTATAAAAAAAAAAGAGCCAAGAATTTTTCATTTGAAATGAATTATAAAATACAAGACAAGGGGCAGTGGCAGAAGCGAGCCCTGCATCCTCCACCCACCCCCAATCCAGAGAAATAGCCTACACAATACAAAGCAGAGATTCTGAAGAGGGCGCCTGGGCAGTAGGGTTTATAAAGTGATTTTCTTGCTATACAAAAATATTTTATTTGCTCGGAGTCAAATACCAAGCAGTTAGGGCGCTGGTGTCAATCTGGCCCACAGAGTAACAGGGGTCCTTACGGTTTCCCCACCAGTTTGCTGAACACGTCATAGATCTCTGGCTTCTCCTGTGCAAACTGCTCTGCTGTGTTCTTCTGAAGCCAGTCAGATGACCTCATTTGCTGCTGCAGGAGGCCAATAAGGTCACCAAGGTTGGAGCCACCAGTAGAACCAGGCTCTTGGTGACGGGATACAAAGATGACCTCATCTGTACTGTCTGCTTTGCCATCCTGGTCTGACTGGCAGGGCTGCTCCTTGT